ACTTTATTAAGAAATCTCAACTACAAACAAACTCTCCAAATGACGCCTATTTGGAATGGATTCCATTCGATTGTATTAACGATGAGGGAGATGGGGATGTACGCTTGTATGGTCTACCTAGTTCTTATGAATACGTTAAATTTATTCCACTTGAGATAACAGATGAGACACATGATTTATATTATGCCGAGGTAAACATTTACTTATGCGTCATGTTTAAATAATTATTGACTTATTATTATATATTATTTCCACTAGTTATGTGATAAACATCCTGATATCCTTAACACAGATGTTTGGGTCACCATCGGATTTACATATGATGCAAGCGAACAGAAATATTATCTCATAAAAGAATATTGGGAGTATGGATTATGTCTGGCGTGTACAGCCAGGTATAAACGTCATATAAGTGCATTCTGTTATGCATGCAAAGCACCAAGACCTCTTGATTGGACGACTGGCAACAGGTCTTTGGATTTATTCGTTATGGAGTCGTGGAGTAATATGAGTAACGAATATGATGCGTATATACGATGGATAGAATATTCTCTATTAACCAATGTGCAAGAGATGACGCCATTACGCCATGGATGCACGCACATAGCAGAATGGAATGAATTGACTCGTGTAACACTCAAAAAAATAGTTGACGAACAATTATCGGATTTTTATCAGGTAAATTATCTCACGCGTAAACAATGCAATCGATAAGTGTTTAATTGACCAGTGTGTTATAACGTCATATTCTGTTTACTCAAAATAGTTAACTACGGAATACCCGACGATATTAACGTCCGATAATATCTGGATAATTGGGATTACGCAGGATCCATCTACACGGGAATATTATTTAGTTTTCTATTACGACATACACGCAGTATTGGACAGTTTTATACAAAGCAATGAACGTGTGAGGCGCATGCCGTATAGTGACTTTTATGAACTTAAAGAGATCGGATGTGGCGGTTACGGAATAGTTTATACTGCCAAATATAGGAATTATACAGAAGTATTGGATATGGAAGAAACTGTTGTACTCAAACGGTTTAACAGTTTTGATGAAACACCGGAATTATTTATTTCAGAGGTAACAATAATTGGTACGATGCATGATACTATTAAATCTAAAGTAACATTAATTTAACGCCGTATTATTTTCGATTAATAGTTCAGGAATCATGCCAAGTGTTCATACGCTGGATTCCTTAACATTTATGGAGTCACACAAGACCCAAGAACAAAAGAGTATATGATTGTTATGCAATATGCTAACAATGGTAGTCTTTTGTCTTATTTGGATCGAAATATTAACAAATTGACGTGGAAGAAGAAATTAGGATGTTTGCATGATATTGCATGGTCTCTGTATTTTATTCATGATTCAGGATTAGTACATTGTAATCTTCACGAAAGAAGCATTGTTTTGCATTATGAAACTCTATTGATATACAATCTCGACTTCTCACGATCGGTGAATTCACGTCAACGAGTTTCAACCCTTCAAGGCGCTTTACCTTTTATTGCACCAGAAGTCTTCCGTACTCGCAAATTTACTCAGAAATCAGACGTGTATTCATTTGGGATCATTATGTATTTAATGGCTACTGGTGAATCGCCTTTTAGAGATAGGCAATCTGATGAAAGTTTAATGCGCGATATTATGGGCGGACTACGACCGTCTATGCCTGATTCCGCACCAGAGGAATACAAGAAACTTGCCGAGCGATGTTGCAATGCTGATCCTGATGAGCGTCCTGATGCTGACAGACTTCGGCGGGATATCAGCAACCTTATTAGAAAGGTAGACAAGGACGAGTCTATCAGTAACGTATGGAATACTATCTATCATAATGATGTTACGCTTATCGCGTCTCGAGGAGAGTAAGTAGTCTGATAAGCTCTTGCCTACTGGAGATTTGTCTAAAAACCGAGAAATAATTATGATACAGTCGCAGGTATGATTGGTTGTTAATGAAGTCAATCTATAATATGATTTAATGACTCAAACATATTCTGAATAGACTTGTAATTCAATAATTTCGTCCTCTTTAATTAATTAATTAAATAAATACGATATGCTTCTATGTGGTTGAGTTAAAATAAATCGTGCACATTTACTGTTAGCCGCCTTGCCGAGTAGTAACTTGAATAGTAGACACAGAGTACATTATTTAAAGTTTATGAAACCGGTAGTAGTAGTAAATTTGATGCTAATTGTTCCTAAAAAAAATGCGTAGCTACATTCGGGTTCTGTTCGCGGACGGTGAAGTTTGCATTGTCAATTCAACACCCAGCCAGATAATGCTGCCTCCTAGTATTGTTTTTTCATCAAAGCCAAATCTTACTCAAATGACTTGTGGAGTTAGCCAGTGGGCAAGCTTAACCCTCCAATGACCAGAACTAAGTTACATATTTTAAACCAAGTTCCGAATGACACGTTGTTTTTAAATTTATAGGAAAAGAGAAAGGGAATTAGCAAAAAGAAAACGAATAGCAAAGACAGAAAAAGTCGACGCACGAATTACCGTAATGAAATGACGTGATGGTTGTTTAATATCATAGCTCATGAGTTGGTGTCCTGACGTCCGACACAATTATCCAGAGTCTCTAAACTCATCTTCTGTACTTCTACTAGGAACCTTTGCATTTTGTTTATCAAGGCTACAAGAAGTTGCATTTGTATTTTTTGTAATCCCCTTTGCTAGCATACAAATATTGTCAACTTATCCGACGTGTGTGGTTCGCTGTAATGATAAAATGAGATATCAGGCTAGGAGAGGTTCGCGCGCATTCAAAGACGAGAGCGTAATTTTTCGATTCTAAAATTGATTCTTACTTATTGAGTAGGCCGTTTAGACGAGCTGTATAAAAAAATGAGACAATTATCATAATACTCACAAAACCCATTAGTATTCACCTTTCACAATAAGGGTAGTTTACTGGTGTTCTACTGGCAAGAGCACTCAAGAGAATATAAGGCGCGTATAAAGCACAATCCAAAAACGTGAATCATTTTGATGGATAATCCGAAGCATCGTTACCAGACCCAGAAGACGATGAAAGTACGATGGCGTGCGTTTGGGCATGGAATAAAACGAAACTTCTTGTCTAAGAGATCGATAGGTTGACTCAACGCTGTTGTTGATGAAACAACTACCGATTTGTTGCAAATTGCAATTCAATAAAAGTTTCAAGCAAGGTAAATTTCAATCTGATATAAGGCTTACGAAAACTCCATATAATTTGTTTTCTGCAATTGCACACTTGGAAGGATGGCTTGTCAGAATAAATCACGCGGTGTAGTTCAATGCAGCAAGCATTCATACAATTGCAATTTTGATACGTTCGTACGACAGTTTTTTGTTTAGATTAACCGTTAATAGTGTGCAGCGAACAAAATGGAAGCCATCATTGCCAAAATCATTATATCCCGTCCCGATTCCCTGGCTCGCATCCCGAAATCTTTTCAACAAAGCTCCATTAAGAGTTTCAATAACTGGGGAATGACGGTAGTGTGACGATAGTGCTACTACCATTATGTTCTCGACTTTCCAAATATAACGCAGTTTTCGAACATGACGCATAGGATAGCAAATATCATAATTATCTTCCCGTCCAAATATTTAGATCGGATTGTCGCACATAAGGAATACGTGATTCCACCATTCTTCACTTTGAAGTCGCGCTGTGGCTGTGGCTGTGTGACTGGGCGTGGCCCGATTTCATTCATAAATTGAAATAAAAATATTTATCTGCAACATTTCGTTATACCGAATCTCTCGCTCGCCTCTAACGGTCGACTCTAACGGTCACGCGATTGAACGGAACTGGGGAAAATAGCCCGCGCGTTTATGTCAAAGTCCACAATCTTCATTAATATCGTGAATTTGACTCACGTGAGTTCACAGACTGCAGATTTTTTCTGTTCTCTTCGCGTCAGATATTCGATTCCAATTATTAGTGTTGAATTTAATCATTAATCCCATCATCGTTTGTCATATTTCTATCATTTCAACAATTAGATAATAACACCAATAAAGATCCACTTGTAATCTTTTAAAGTAAATCGTAAAACGTAATTTATTTATTTATTTATTTATTTAGGACCATGAGCAGTTGGCCTCACTGGTTTAAAGTAGCAACTGTACGTAATAAGAATGAATTTGGTCATAATAAGTAAAATTGGATTATACTCACGTATCGACCTTTGGTTCGATTTAATGTCTAGGATTTGTGTCTTCACTCCATGGTTCCCATGGCGTTGTTGACAGAATTTCAATATACAATCAAAGTAAGACAGATACTAATACTGACCGTTATGTTAAATTTCTACTACCTATATTCTTATTACTACCATTATTATCTGTGTTTGCACAGATTCTTCAAGCTAGTCACCCAGCTGGTAAGAATGAATCCTACATCATATTATTATTTTAAGTACGTGAATAATAAAAATTTCCTTTGCCCATTTTTAGCCTTGGGGAGATCAGCACTTGAGACATTTCCCGAACTGTAACATTCTTATTTGATGCGTATGTACGGCTAATATCGGAACCAATTATCAATAACGCTGTATTGCCTGACTTATTGTCTGTATTATAGAGCTCTTGCAGGAGAGGGCCGAATTGTACCAGATGTCTGTACACGTATTACACGAGCGGGTTATTTAGAGGATGTATACTCTACGGTGTCTCTTAGTCCAATATTCACAGAGTACGGTAAAGTAGCAGGATTGATCAGTATCAATCCAGAGTCAACAAGTACTGTACTGATGACTAGACGACTGAAAACAATCAGGGATTGGCGAACGGAACGCAAGGCAACTATTTTGACATACATCATTGTGGAATACTTCAAATGGCGAATCCTAATATTAAATGTGTACCCTAATACTAGGCATGACGTCAGTTGAAAGAACATGTCACATCATTACTAAAATTCTCAAAAATAATGCCGATATACCATATGCTATATTTTATGTTGTGGAGAAACAAGAACGCGGGTTCGAAAACGAATCGAAAAGTGTGCGATTAGAAGCCACGACGTTTGATAAGAATCTAATTTCTGTCAAAAAGAACTGATGGAAGTGAAGAATATATGTATATAAATGGACAATCCAATACACCTGATGTAATACCCATCCCTAAATCTGAGGAAAATATTGAGCATCTGGACATATATTCAACCACTGTTGCTCCATGGCCAATAGAACGGTGGTGACAATGTAATTATACGATTACCAGATGATTCACTGGCTGTTCTATGCCCGGTGACTTCAATATCTAATGGGAAAGACGTGTTAACAGCCGTAATGATATGTGGCATCGATAAACACCGAGCCTTCGATAAAGAGTACAAAGAATTTCTCCAGGTATTGTGATTATGATATATTACGATATGATTAGTATCATATTAAAAATTTTATTGACAACACCATTCTGTTTGATGAAGCTTGTCATTAATCGCGTGAGTTCCACTTTTACAAAAGCTCGATCGCGGGAAGAAGAACGAAGGCAAAAAAACATGTTGGCCGAATTGGACAGGCAAAAGATTGACTTTTTCCAAAACGTCAGTCGCGAATTACGAAGTAAGTTCATTCATACTGGATCAGTATCATCACCTTTATATATGATTTTGCAACTTACAATTCTTGTGTGTAGGGTCCGTTGACTCTTATGCTTTCACCTTTGGAAGAAGCAATGGAGTTATGCCCTAGGAACTCTCCAATATTAGATCATCTCAAATTAATCCGGACTAATAACCGAAGATTACTCAATTTAATAAACAGCTTGTTTCAGGTATGTAACAGAAATATGTATGCTATATCACGCATAGAGTTTTAACGCGCGTCGTAAATTCAGTTCGCCCACATAGAGACAAGCCGACTGCGCGCATGGTTTTGCGAGACGAATATTGCAAAGTTAACAATAGAATTGACAGCCAGTTTCGAAAGTATGGCGAAAACGCTTGGTCTAGATTATAAGCTCTTTGTCCCTAGCGATGAAGAACTTTTCCGTCAAATTGGTCAGAAAATATTTTTAGATCAGGAGATGTACGGGAAGATCTTGTTTAATCTATGTAAGTGTTTGCAAGTCCAAGCAATACTGATATTATTGCGTTTGATGTTACTTTCCAACCAATTTGTTGTTTGTTCTTTTTTTCTTCTTCTTTTTTTTTTTTAGGTTCGAACGCGTTTAAACACACGTGGACTAGTGGCGTAACCGTTCGCTTGTTTACAGAGAAAAAAAGGGAGAGACAAGGTGTGGTTCTTGAAGTGTCTGACACAGGTAATGCCAAGTAGTATTATATTATATCAAAGATGTAACCACGCGCTAATATACTAATGACTGGTCCGGGCCATTCTTTAGGTGTTGGCATACCGGAAGAACATCTTCCAAATATTTTCCAATGCTTTTACCGCGTCGAATCACAGCCATCACACGGCAACGAAGGTACTGGAATCGGTCTGGCTCTCGTGGAAGAACTCGTCGAGCAACATGATGGAGAAATCTACGTCACGTCTCAAGTGCATGTTGGCACTACTTTCCGTATTTGGATTCCCGCCGGATTTGACCATCTTCCTCAGCAACAAGTTTACTTTGGAAGCAAAAAGGATGTATGCGAATACGGTCCAGAATATGAAAACCAAATTCATTCGGATACAAGCTTGTACTTGCGTAAGCGTATTCAGAAAGCACACAAGGAGGAGGAGGAGTCTAATCCAAAGCCTGATGAAAGTGATCAAATTGGCTCGACGCATACCGATAGTGGCAGTTTATCTTTTACATCTTCACCAAGATTAGATGGGCAGTCGGCCTTGCGTATGGATATCGAATTTAACGCTACAAGAAAATATATTTTGGTAGTCGATGATAATGCAGGCATGAGGTGCGGTCGGGTGCATTCTCATTTGTTTTTTTTAACGTTATTTTATATAACTTGTGTTTTAAATTATCTTTTAATAATATCTTATTAGAAGCTATTTGAGCACTTTGATTCAGAAGCAGTTTGATTGCGTTTCCGCTGCTGATGGTTGTGGAGCTCTTAAAATTGTAAAGAATTCACAACGGTTGCCTGACCTGATTCTGAGTGGTGAGATTATTTATTTATTTTGATGGATTACCGAATTCTATATTAAAGAATTTTGTCATTTAAATAGATCTTATGATGCCTAACATGGATGGCTTTGAATTGCTCAAAGCATTACGTAGCAATCCAGCAACACAGACGATTCCTGTGATCCTATTATCGGCGCGAACAGGAGAAGCCAGTATTGAGGTAACATTTCGTATGTCAACGTTCTTTCGTCCAACATGTTTTTTAACTGTTTGTATTTGTAGGATTGGAAAAGGGTGCGGATGATTATATCGTCAAGCCATTCAACGCTCGTGAACTTATGGCTCGTATTCATGTGACTCTCAAACTCTCTCACGTCCGTCGCCGATTGATTGCAGAACAACAGCATGAAGTTGAAATTAAGCAGTTACTGTTTGCAATCAGCAACAAAATTCGTTCTGGTTTTGGAATACAAGAAACGTTTGATTTTGATGGATTGCGCGATGGTAAGCGTTGACCGTGTGTCGTCGATATTCATTAATGTTAGAGATATATTAACAATTTTCCTATTCGTGCTGGAAATAAAAAACCCACCCTCGAATGAACAGGGGGGATTTTTGAGAGAGTTTTGTTATTGCTCAAAATTAAAAAGATTACAAAAATATTTTTCAAGCCTGCTCGGGTACCTGTATCCAAAACGCCTCTAAAATTAAGCCTGTAATGTCGGGTTTTGAAGCAACGCGAGCGATTAGATCGTTAAATCCGGGGCTTCAGACGCTTCCAATCGTTGCATTGACTGCATCCGCAATAGCAGAGACGCGCGAACAATGTCTAGAGGCCGGTATGAATGACTATCTGACCAAACCGATCAAAATAAAACAGCTGAAGGAGAAGCTGAAGGAGTGGTTGGGCGACGATTAAACTAGCGGATATGCATATTAATACGGATTATATTCTAAGGAAATAACTCATTTCTTCAACAAAGAAAAAAGACACCATGTAAGATTTGGAATTATACGCACCGACTATAACAAGTTCGGTCTATTTATATGCTTAATTATTCTATAGAATATTGTATTATTATATTTATTGCTCGATTTTAATATTATGGTAATAGTAAAATATTGTGCTTATTCTGAAGTTTGACACGTTTCGGGATTGTCACATTAGAATAATCTCTTGATTCTATAATTGCATAATTTACGTGACAATCTTGAAACGGTTTGACCTATTCTCTTTTCTCTTTCTTCTACCATTAAAGGATGGGGTAAATTCTATCCAGATTCTTAGTTCTGTCGGGTCATTCAGGTTCTGGCTTTTTGCCAATTCTTGTCCTTTTATTACGTGTAGCGCGTGCGTGCGACTATGAGAAGCGGCAATAATCAAAATTTTACAGACACTTTGAGACCGAATTTTTTAATTTTATTTATTGTACAATGCATTTCAGTTGGGTCTGGGTTACAGATTGTATGCTATTAAGTTGCTATTGTAATTGCGCTTTTTTTTTAGCATAGAAGTAAGCTAACTTGTAACATTATGGTTAAATTACACCACAAAGATAATAATTGTTCACCAATAATATAAAAAAAAAAGAAAAGAGCATGCCGTTAAATGAAATAACTACTGCAATTTTCCAACAGCGTAACTCCAGTGGCTTTAACAAATTTTTTAGTAAGAAATAAATTCTATGTTAAATGCGGGAAATAAATGTTGATGAAAATAAATAAATAAATAAATAAAAATCACACGAGTTTGGCAATTCTTTTAAGAGTCGGCAGAATTATTAATCGTCGATCATGCGCTATTTTGGGGGAAAGGCTAAAGCGGGGCAGAACGTGATCAGTTTTATTAACTGCCATACAAATTTGACCAATGGGAATTGCGAGGGATCTGCTCCGCTTTAGACATGCCCTATTTTGGAGCCAACATGACTTACAAGCAAGAATTTAAATCATACTTTATTAAAGCAAACGCATTAACTACATAATTACATGCAAATCGTATGTACGATATATGTGAAAAGAATACGAAGATGCTAAAATAGGTGTATATGAATGCGCACGCTATTAAATTAAATGTAGCAACAAATTCTGTAATTGGGTAATATATGGAAACAATTAAAAAAGCTCTTTCGAACCTAATTAGAATGTTCTCCAATTTGCTTATATTATTTTTTCAGAATTTAAAATTAAAGCATTGATTAAAATTATAAAATATTCAATAAGCTCAGTACACGAGTCTTCGCTGATTAGCTTGTCGACCCGGTGTAGGTCGTAGCGCAATGCAGGGTGGCTACGTCATTGTATATATGGAAACAAGGCACAGGCACAGTTTCCGGCTAATTGTCAAACTTAGTATCTTAGTTGACTGGACATGATTTATAGAGTTTGCAAAAATTGTCTTCGCATGGATAACAATTGAATGTCTTGAGAGGTTGCAAAATATTTTATCAGGAAAATAGTATATCAGTCTCGTTCGGATTCGTCAGTTTAACAGTATTAAATAATATTCTCAATCATATTATGTCTAAAAAAGTACAGACGCAGTTGGAGCAGTCTTCGAGTTTCACCTTAATAATTAGAAATAGATATACAACAGTCCCTCTATAAGTTTGTTATAGGCGTTGGATATGAATTAACTAAAGCTAATCGATAATTTAGCGTTAATAATAACATTGGTTTCTAGCGATCTGGATATAATGAACCTAATTATAAATAATATAATCTTTGCTATAAAAGTGACTTTGGCAATAAGGAATTTCTGGTTATAAAAATATTTTCTCTGGTCCCGTCGAATTCGTTATAACCAGGTTTGACTGTAGCTAATAACACGATTTACTATAAAAATCTATAACAAGCAATTTTTAATATTAGAAAATTGTGTTCTAAAAGAATTTTCTCTTATAATGCGATTTCATTACAACGCAGTCCTATTATAACGAGCTTTGGCTGTAATTTTAATAGTTTTTGGAACTACCCCAAGAGAGCCAGAATCGGTTACAGTAACGTGACCGTATGTACGACGTTTTCAGCCAGTCATCAGCCTTAAAATCTTGTGCTGCATGTGAAATTTTGGTGTCACACACAGATTTCTTTATTAAGAACTGAGATGCAATTGCATTGCTTAATAAGGTGTTCATGTCCTAATCGAGATAAGT